CTGTATTGTCTGTGGGACTAAGACCATCCATTGAAATAAAATAAATAAAGCATAAGATCGGTACTAAATAATTTGTGTTCTAAACCAGTAAAAAATCATTAAACGTTAGTGCCATGGGGCATTATTACACATACCACAGCGCACTATAGCACTATAGTGTGTAAGGAGTGAGTGTTGTTTGCTATAGTGCACTGTGGTGTGTGTAATAATGCGCAACCGACTCGCCCAAGCTGCTACGTTATAATGGGGCATGTTACGTTCTTTCAATATCTGCTTCTGTGCAAACATTAAGAGTGTAAGACAGAATGCGCCATAAAGGTGCTCACGGCACGGGACGCAATTGATTTCTGTAATTACAGTTTCAGTCGTTCTCGTTGCGGCCAAACCACCGATGCCTAAAATAGAGCTGCAATGTCCAAAGCACTGACGTTGCATATCACGAATGTTCATCCCATTGTGATAAGGAACCCTAATGCCTTGTCATGCCTCCTTTACAGAGAGTGCCACACACCCTTCCGACCCGAAAACAGCAGCTTTACTCCTTTCCAAACGATTCTCGGCCCCATTTGCTTTAGTAGTGGCTCGCTCCCCCTGAAGATGCTGACACAGTGGAATGGTGGCAGGCCCTCGATATCTATATCCACTAGGTCTTTCCTGACACCTGAATGATATTCCTTTATTTCCGGTCCTGGATTTAGGGCATTTTTATTTATAAGAAAGCTTTCAGCTTCTCCTCTTTTATACTGATAATGCTTGAACGATTTCTGACTTCCTCTTGCATTGGCTCCGTTGCGCCTGCTTAATATAATCACCACCAGGGGCGTCACCTTTAAGGCAATAAAGACAACGCCAGTCGGCAGTGCACTGATACTTCCGCAGTGTACGTAATTCACACACTTCAAGCACGCCTATTTCATAGCAGCTGAGCAGCAACACATGTTGCTTCTGCAAGTGAATAAAAGTAGGGGAGGTACACTCTCAAGAAAAAAGGGTGTAAGAGGGTGTATAGTTACACCCTTTGTACCATATAATACACCCCAAAACTTTAATTCGATCGTACAGCGCCCTTTAGTCGAACAGGCGGCTCGAAATTTTACGAGGGGCTTGATAGCCGTGTGGTACAACTTATTGAAATAGCTAATGTACGTTTTACTGACAAAAAAAAATAATCGCGGCTGTCGTGGCCCTACTGTGAGAACTCGGTATTTTTTCTTTATGTGGTCTTTGATACGTACCTTAGCTATTTAAAAAAAAAAAGTTATATCGGACCGTTATCAAGCCCCTCGTAAAATTTGGGGCTGTTTGTTCGACTATAGTGCGTTGTACGTCGAAATAAAGTTTTGGGGTGTATTATATGGGACAAGGGTGTAACGATACACCCTTTTACACCTTTTTTTTTTTTTTAGAGTGTAGATATATGATCCAACAGCAAACTACAGGCCGGACGGACGAGCAAGTAAACTTTTACAATGTCGAAATAGTGAACACTGAAAGTTTTTTTATTGCTGAGGCAAAGGAACATGAAATAGCAGAAGGTGAAGAGGAATTACCAAGGTCAGAGTCCTATGAGTTTACAACCGTTACGAATTTACCTAAGCAGTGTGGAAGGTGTTAGTTGTGCCGTGCCTCAAGTTTTGTGTATGGCGTACTGCGAATGTCGTCAGAAACCCGTCACTCTCTCGAGGCGCGTGAGAGATAGCTGGGCAGGTCAGCCAGTTAAGCAGCACCGAAAGAGGCCGTGAAAGATTCCATAGGTTGATCCAGCTTTGACGACAGGGAGGTCCGAATTAAGATGGGCCTTGAGTGAAGCCTCAGAATTATGCCAAGGCTTCACTGGAACGGACATTAAAAATGGGTTGTCTAAAGAAGCCTCCCTTAATGTCCGTCGCAAAAACGTACCTACAGTACATAAAAATGAGCTTCAGTCACCTTTCATGATCCCCGATGTTGCTTGGGTTCTCGGAAAACGACAGCCCCTGCCTTTAGTTTTGCGATTCTGCCTAAAGCATGTCAAAAACCTTTGCAAAAATAAAAACGAATTGCCTATGTGCAACTCTCAGCCCGCACCATATGCTCAAAACAGCACCAAGAATGTATAGTGAATGCGAGAGAGTGGGCGGAGTAACATCGTTCACTTCGTTCATGTTTCCTGTCTTATGTGGGGAAGCGGCGCACACTGGAGAAGTTGTGAGGATAAACGGCAAGCGGCGTTTGGGATGCATTATCAGTATAGAGGAGGCTATGGCATGATTCGAGGTTTTTCCCGATAAGAAGCCGCGTCGTACCTTGTAGTTGTTTGCAGGTCAGTGAACGACTGATAGCCCCTGATAGCTACCAGTTTCCGCGAGCATATTGCGCCGGATATTTCTGCCACACTGAGGGGCGAGGCAGGGAGGCTCTAAATGCCTTTTCAGCCACCGATGACGACCAATTGTTGTACAATGAGCTGGGCTAGAGGATTAGGCCCCTTTTGATTTAAGTGGCGTAAAATACGGCGTTATCAAGAAGAGACATGCTGTCCGATGTAAGACGTGCCCCCAGGATGTAAGTTATAGCTAGGGTTTTCTTTGTTTTCGGTAAATATTGATATACTTAAAACATTAACCCCCGAGGCTGTTTCATCAAACTCGAAGAAGGCTCAAGAACCCCAAACGGGAGCGGTTTTAAATAAGGGAAACCCAATCTTCACGGAAAAAAAAACAAAAAAAAAATTAAATATATGTTTTTTTTTGCGCTAAACTGGAACAGGGCCCGTACTGAACTGCATGAAAAGTTGCTTCTTTTTTCAGGAACATCTCCCTCTGTTCTCCTTCTTTCTTTGGATGATGTGGAATCATATGTCCGTGTACTGGGCTCTCCAGTATAATCACTGAATTCTAAGAAGTAACGTCAGTGCGTTCCCTCCCTGCTGTCCCTGACACAAACCTCGCAAACCTCGCAAGGTGATTGGTTGATTGATGTCAGCTGCCATAGTAATCGCCAGTTCGGTTAATTTAAATCTTCGAAGCTTCGAAAGGGTCGTTCTCTACCAGTCGCGTAAAGATTACTATAAAGCAAGAACAGAACGAGCGGGTTAGTATGAATAATTAAACTTGAGGACGAAAACGAGAAGGGACGTCCCTTCTCGTTTTCTTCCTCAAGTTTAATTACTATAAAGCATCATGGTACAAAAAGCGTTCCTCTCCAATATCGGCACATTTGGCATACAATCCACTTATCAATCACGCTTGTCTCTACATATCTCTTACAATGGCCTTGCTCTTCTTGCTCATTACGAGACAGGAAAATTATTTTCCAATGCATCCAAGCACCGACGCCGCATCTTGTGGAGGTACAAAGATGTACGCTTGTTTGGCTGTTGTGTGTGTAGCGAAAGATCGTTGTACGAGAAACGTCTCGGAAAATCTCCCTGTCACCAGCGAATTCAGATCGGCTCACCGAGAACGGAGAGGTCAAGGAGAGATGGAACCGAGGAAATTGAATCAATGAACCGAAATGGCGACTATACGAGGAGCTTGGCGCTGCTTTCCCAGGATCCGGTGAGTTTACCCCAACATAGGCCCCCATAAAGTCCCATTTCCTAGCGCGACACCAAACTTTCACAACGAGAAACATCGAATATGTGGGAAGGAAATAAACCCCGATAGGGACACACGCGATGACAAAGAGAAATAAACACTGAAAACACGGAACCCAAATTAGCTAAAATTTCGTAATTTGTTTTTATTTGCTTTTAGTTCTAATGCTTTTAAAGGGCGATTCCGCTCAAGTCCGAAAAATTTAGGCTTACATGTGATTCCATTTCACAAAGCACTACTAACCAGATCTACGTCCTCGGATTCGCAAAATGTGGAATACTGTTTGTGTAATCTTAATTCAAACATCAGCTGATACCGAAGCCAAAACTTCGGTTGCGTCAGGCACCATTCCTCTCGTGTCGTCAGAGTCATGGCCACGTCACGTCGAGCCACGTGGTCTTCTGACGTTCGTGGGTGCGAGGGACAGGACACGCGACGCGGGCAGGTCGCGTCGCATGGTGTGGACGGTGATGTCCCGGGGGAGAGGGGGAAGGGGAGAAGACGAAAGAGGAGAGGGGGAGCGGAGAAACACGCCGATAAGTGCGCAGGGCAGCGCAAACTAGCGCATCCGCGCTACGGTGATCTCGTGGACGCCGTTCAGCCATCACCGAGAGCAGAAACTCATGATGTGAGATTGACGTAGTCCTGCCTCTGACGTTGTGGCTCAAGGTTGGCCTCTCCAAGTCCGTCGGATTTACTGCGCTGGTGATTGCGCCCCACGTCGCGCGCCAGAGCTGGCAGATTTCGGCGACTTGGCCGATTTGAAGATTTCTGGCCAGTTTATTAAATATATAGACGGAATTTTATCGTAATATTTGACATGGGGTCTTCCTATATGATACTGAGGAGGGCTACATACTTTTCTAAATATCAAAAATGAAGCGGAGTTGCCCTTTAACAGTTCTTGTAGAATGCCGTCGGCAACATTACCGTGGTTATATAAGGAGTGGGAGAAATAAACAAGGTAAACTCGGTGTCAACTTTCTGTGGCATTTTAAAAGAGAAGAGTACGCGTGTACAGATTTCATCGGCGCTCAAAGCGTGCGAGCGCACGGCACCCATAACCTTTTCCCTCAAAGTTCTCTCCAAGTACAGCGGAATTGTGGATATTTGCCTTCTGTAACCTTTACTGCAAATTGAGTTTTCTTTTTTTTTTTTTTTACAGTTGTGGGGTTAATTGCTTTAGCTACGGCCGAACTAAATACGCGCTCGCTGTCTTACGGCCTCTTTAGTGAGGCATGACAGCACTAGATTGCTGTGCCGCATTGTCACGATGGTTAATGGTGATGCGCCTTTTCACTTCGTAGCAATTTAGCTAGAAAGAAAAAAGAAAAATAGAGTGTCCCTGCCAAAACTGTAAAATAAGCTTAATTTGAACCGAAAACATGAAACCCTAATTATAAGGAATGGTACCTCACTCACCCGATGGTCGCCGTTCATTTCGGCATCCGCGACAAAGCCGGCGTTCGTGAGGCCTTCGTCGTGCATTGGACTGAATCTCTCCATTTTGACACCGTGGTCAGGCGGGCTCTGGGAATGGTCAAACTTTCGTCCGGGCATCGTTGTGACCAGCTACTGGTCGTGTCTGAGAACAAGTTCCTTGAAAATGGTAAGCTGTTGTTCTGCAAAAAAAAAAAAAAAAAAAAACATAATCCGCGTTAGCACTGAAGACCACAACTCAACCACAGAGCGGATATGCTTTGTTTTGTCAGAAAAAATCGCATTTCGTTCAACAATAACTTGTATTAACTGGCAAAACCTGCCAAAGTTTTACCACCGAAATGGCGCCATTTTGACGCCAAAACGCTAAATTCAGATGAGCACAGCTAAATGATTCGACCACCTTTCTTTCCCGGTGTAAGCGAGGAAAGGCACAGAATTGTAACCTTTAGTAAAAGCCTACATTCAGTCGGTGTGATACGAGTGAAAATCGAAAAGTAGTGGGACCTGATTGTTTTTTGTTCAGTACTGGGTCTCTCTGGGAGCTCTGATTTTTTTTCTTTTTGTTTTTGAAAGTAGCATCAAGCGTATTCAATATTAAATAAAAAGGGTTCAAAAATAAACTTAAAAAAAACACAAAATAATGCTTTGGGACATCCCTTTCGGTGTTGAAGCAGCAAAAGTTTCCACTTCATCGTATAACAAAAACTTTCTTCCGTGAACTTATCTTTTTATTGTTGAATATACCTAGAAATCACACGGTGATAAGTACGGGCTGTATGAAGAGCGTTAGAGTGCAGTTAACACTTTTCAAAGGTTAACGTAAAATTTAATTGCACACCTTTGTAATACTCTTACCAGCAGGTCGTTACCATCAAACATAACGAAACGTATAAGGTGCTAAAGAAGAAGATGGTAATCTGCAGGTTTACACATATGGATGCATTAACTTCGCAATCATCGACACAACACAGCTTGTCTGCCTCCTCGCATAAAATAACAGCGTTCTCGATACTTCTCAATCAGCCCTTGTATATTTGCCTATTATTTGCCACTACATATATTACTCCTCGATCTTTTAAACTGCCGTAGTATATGTAATTAGGCCCTCCGTGTCTCGCACAGTTTATTAGCTTTCCGTTGAATGGGTTGTCTTCCACGCTCCGCTTTTATATTTCTCAGTATGTTCTTATTCGTAGACTAAGAAAATTTGACTCATGTGTGCGTGTTCTGAGTACGTGTGCCTCGCCACAGTTGTCTAGAGAACCCATGAGTACAACGGTCGAGAAGACTTGGATTTAAAATAATATATATATACATATAAGTCAGAGATCTGTACTTGCGGGGTTGCTATGCTAAGAGTTTATTTTATGTATTACGACAGTTTCGCCGAGAGGCTCGTCTTCGTCAGGAGATGGTATACATCTCCTGACGAAGCCGAGCCTCTCGGCGAAACTGTCGCAATACATACAATAAACTCTTAGCATAGCAACTCCGCAAGTACGGATCTCTGACTTATTACATATATATATATATATATATATATATATATATATATATGTATGTATGTAGGCTAAGAAAATTTGGGAATAAGTATATATATATATATATATACTCTTGCCATTTAAAGAGAGCAAGCAGAGAAGTATGAACGATTACTAATACTGCGAAAAGCGATCAGTGGACAATTTATCCGGAAAGCGTGGTTTGTGTATGATACTGCTAACTGGACTAAACGTTCTCCATTCGTTATCTGAATGTCTTTTTGAACTCAGGTATACATAAGCTTTCATTCCTCAGCAATAAATAAATTTCATTAAACGTACGACTAAAATCACTATCAGCAAGGCTATGCAATATAAACAGTAAATTTCGCTGTTTAAACACAAAAAAATGGCAAAAACAACTTGCATTTTCATTTATGTTCGCCCCGGTACTGAGAGTATTTCAGCATAAAAACGAAGCATAATAATATGTATTTATTCGCGGCGAGAAGTTCGAACGTCACCGCGAGGTGCAATTTTTTCACAACCCCGAGTGAGGACACTTCAACTTTTTCTTCTAATGCGAGCACGCGCAATGCGGAGCTCCTGTGAACTATGAAAATTATAACGTAACCGCCGGGGTAGCACGTGCAGTACCCATAATGAGTGGAACCCGAAGCGATCCAAGCGAACTTGTCACTACGAATAGTTAACAGTCATCATAAACACTGCTTTTCAAGACAAATATGCTGAAACATCACATGAAAACGCTGCGTATGGTGGACAACACTATCAAAATAATCATGCGATTTTGAAGTTTTCGTTTCTTTTTTTCATCATGTAGCAGGGACTTTGCCAAGAGACGGCGAGGTCGGCCAAAAGATGCGTTAGACTGTTAGAGAGCTGCGCTGGCATGTTGAGGTAACCGCGTCCTCAGCTATCATGTTAAAAACAAAACGGCACGCAGGTGGTATATATACAATATATGTCGTCGATACATCACAGAATTTTAAATCAAGAAGAAACAGGCATTTTTTAGAGGCTTTGAAAATCTAATGCCATTTACGGGGGTTTACGCGTCGAACCACAGAAGGACTTGCGGCGCGCTTCAGAAAAGAGCCAACGACTAAATTAGATTATAGAGGGACCCTTAACTTTGAACCGAAGTCTCGATTAAACGGCGCCTTTAGCTCGGTGGATATATGCAAGACCTCTGAACCTTCGAACCGGGTTCGACCCCGCCATTTGGAGATTCAAACGCCGGCTTCTTGCCAAGGAGCCGCCGGCGCAGTCCAAGGCTCCAGCGCATAAAAAGAACGAAACACAGAAACACATAACAAAAGCGCAAGTCACCGGACATTCACTGCGCTTGACTTGCTTAGCAAATGATAGCAGACGTACAAAGGATGACTAACGCCATGACGTTGCGATTATGAAGTTTCTTAATTGGTCTTATCGGCTCGCAGCTGAACAACCGCAAAGTACATAGTTTCAGTATGAGTGAGTTTTAGTATTTCGTATACGAGCAAACACAAGCGCTCTGCGTTTGCGTTTGCGTTGCGTTTTCCACGACGCGCATGCGCAAAGTCTCAATGCGCCAATCCGAGGCCGCAGTTTGGGCTCCGCGCACGCGCAGTGTGGAACACGCAACGCAAACGCACGGGGTTTGCGTTTGCTCGTATACGCGATACTAAATCTCACTATTGTTGTATAGGAGAAAACGCCACCACTTTGCGTTTACATTTTCGCAGCGTGCTCCACGCAGCGCATGCGCGTCGTCGCCATGTACCAATCGAAGATGCGGTTCTAGCTTCCGCTAACTTACAGTTTGAAACACACAATGCTAACTCAAACGCAAACTGCTTGCGTCTGCTCGCATGCGCAATACATAATCTCGATAATACGAGGAAAACGGGCGAAATCCCGAATGCAGCTTGGCTGCATCCTCGCCCAGTCGTGAGGCCAGTTTCAAAACGCGAGTGCTATGATGCCCGATTGTTGATTTTTTCCGACGAATAATGTGTCTTCTGACATACGAGCTAAGTATATTTGTCGCAGCGACGAGAGTTCGGTGACTCAAAGCACGGAGTCAGACATACCTGGGGAAATACGAGTCCGTCGATCGAGAAGCTGTTCTATTCGTCACAATGGAGACATGCCAACTTACTCGGAGCGCGGCGTGTGTCCGTGTGGAATCCCGCCTTGTCTGTATCAGATTCTGAGGCCGCTGATACACTCCGATTAGCCACTGAGCGCAAACTGCAAACCTTCGGTAATTTTTTTTCCTTCTTTTTTTATCGCATTTCGACGATAACCACCTTCAACACTCAGACAGGGCATCGTGGGAGTTTACATTGTGTTTTCGAAACGAATTGCTACATTGTCGGAACGCCCAGTTTGCGCTCAAATGTAGCGCAAACTTTTCTCGTCGTCCAGCGCCCTGCTGAGACGTCTTTAGCGGTATCTCTGACCGCTGAACAGGGATGTTTACACAATATTTGCACTGACAATTCTTTCTAGAGGTGTCCCCCAGCGTTCCGAGACAGTAAGTGCTTCGTTAGCGCTGGCGGTAAGCGGTGATACGAGTCGGCCATGGCGCTGAGCCGCAAGTCACCCCACAGACACTGGCTAAACTAGCCCTACCCCATGACTAAGATTTGATAGTCGACTTCTTAGTCGCGCGGAACGACTAGGCCCTAAACACGACCGGTGAATACAAAGCACTCCCTTAGCGGTGACTATCGCTCGCCACGTGATCATTTTAGTCGATGACGTCACTAGTCAGTTGTTAAACAGGCGCTACTCGCGCCTGGTGAATACGGGTGATGAGGTTTTGCACTAACCTCCAAAAAAAACGTTTAATTTCTTGTAGTCAGTAACACGTATATTACCTATTTCAAGAAGTTGTACCATATGGCTATCAAGTCTTTTGTGAAAGTAGGTACCGTCAGTTCGATGTCAGTGCGCTATACGTTCGACTGAAGTTTTGGGATGTCTTATATGAAACAGTGGGTGTAAGGACACACCCTTTTTTCTGAGAGTGTATACACAATGGTAGGGATGGAAAAAGTATGTAGTTTCGCTACAGACTCCTTTATTTTGAATGCAATTCATTCAGCCGTCCAAGAGCTTGGATATTCCTTCCAATAACAAGGTTTTCGGTTGGTCGCCCAACCATCTACGCACCGCTTCGCGCACTGACGGGCGTCCCGCTCCCTTTGTGTTCCTCAAGCCTGTTCAGCCACTTTCAAAATTCTCGAACAACTTATAGATACACTTCTATGTGAAATAGCGCTCTCCCCGTGTTGTGTTGTAAGCTTACGATGAATTGCAGTTCTTCCGACACCCTCCGACCAGAGATATTGTATCACTGCTCTGTGTTCCTCCTTAGTGCACACTGAGGGCTGAGTGCGCATGTTTACAAACAAAAGCGACAAATATGACGATATCAAGGGCGAACTTCAATAACGTGACTACAATTATATCGACTCTAAGCACGCATGCGCAGTAGGCAGTCCGGAAAACCCAAAGCTGCAATAAAGCAAACGTGCACATTTTTTTTTCTTTGTAATTTTTTTATTGACCGCCAGAAAACAAAGCCGAGTTCCGAACACTTGGAAACGTGTTCGGATGTGATCCCTTGATTAATTTTACAATGTGGGTTTCCCAATT